ATATAGATAGATATAGATAGATACAGATAGATACAGGTAGACAGATAGATAGATAGACAGACAGGTAAATTCATAGATACATAGATAGATAGATAGATAGATAGATAGTTTCATACAAGTATGATGATATCAACAGTCTTGTATTTGTTGATTCTTCATATATGTACACATGTCTGCTCATATACATACAGATATGCAGAAACCTGTATGCATGTATGTGTGTATGCACATATGTATGTATGTACGTATGTACGTATGTACGTATGCATGCAGGCACGTGAATCAATTTCCTGAGCTATCTACCTATATGCATGTAATGTACATGTGTGTGTGTGTATACATACGACCATGTGCTGATAAAGCCTAGCGCCGTTTCGGTGCCTGCCGCTGGTGAGGGACATTGTGCCAGTCGTGCTGCTGTCGTTGCCACTCAGGGAGCCACTTGTGCTGCCGTTGCCACCTCACGGTGCAGGATTCTAGACAGGGTCCTGTAAGGGCTCTTACGAAGGCTCATCAGCAACAAGGGTTTAGCGTTGAATGTTTCGGCTCTTCGGGCTTTTAGGGCTTTGGTTTGCGGGTTCTTGCGTCTTTCAGGCTTTGGGGCCGGGTTTAAGTAGTGCTTTGGGCTTGGGGATTCTAGGGTGGAGACAGGACGAACTGAAGATTGCAAACCAGCAGCTTCCGTATGACCCCACCCTGCCCTCCAGCCCTGAGACTTTGAAGGGGTGACGGGAGCTTGTGATTTGAACCCCGACTGGCTTCAATCCTACTGCTCCTTGACAAAAGTACCTCCTATCATCTACGTTGATGGTTGGGCTGATTAATTCTGGTGCGGGCCCTGGAGACAGGCATAACGCCTGCAACTACAGATCCAGAATCTCATAAGCCAACCCATATGCTAGCGTTCAATTCATGATTTAGACTGCACGTGTTAGCGTTAGCACTTTGGTGGCTTGAGGTTGGTGCTTTCGGGGATACGCTTAATGCAAATTGGAAGATTAGACCAGGCTCGTTGAGCGCTATGAGGAGCCCTAGACTAGTTTTCTCACAAGCATCCTATAAGCAATTGCTCTTGCTCCGAGGTCTTGGCTGGTGGTAGTGATCTGGCTACCGGATGTCATCCTTGGCCACACAGCTTCGGCTTTTGCGGTATTCAGGGTTGACAAACATACGCGCAGAGTAAACAACAAGTAGATGAGCAGATGGACAGATGGCTTTGTGGCTGCACGCGCGAACCTTTATCCTGTCGAAGTTGATTGCACAGGATCTGTTCTCGACTATCTGGTGGTCCTAGGTCTGTCAAAAGTAAAGGCCTGAACCATGATTGCAGTAGAGCTTGGGGTGCCTTTTGCTACCAGTATGTATGTGTGTCTGTACATATATATATACTTTTGCATGCAAACACACACACACACATACATATATATTATTTATTTATTCCTATACACAACCAAAACGAAGTATAGCCAGCTAAACAACTAAACAAACAAATTTTTAAAAAAAACACAACAATATACACCAATGTATATGTCAATATGCATATACTTATGTGTATATGTATATATATATATCATGCACATATCTAAATTTGGTTTGTTTCTGTGTGCTTATGTATCTATCTAGTTCAGCTGGTTGGTTGGCTATACTTTGTTGTATTTTTTGCTGGGTTAGAAAATACTGAAACTAGTTCATTCATGCCGTCCTAAACTATTTCATTAATTTAACTAATTGCTAAAGCAATTACACAGCTAATTAAGAGTTAACTAGTTAATTAAGCAATTATTGTGTTGATTCGTTGATTCCTTCAAACCCATCCATTCCTTCATTCCGTTCATTCATTCATGCATGCGTTCATTCACTCATTCATCCCATTCATCCATTCATTCACTCATCCACTTATCCATTCGTTCATTCGTTCATTTCATTCATTCATTGATTCTTTCATTCATTCATTCATTCATTCATTTCATTCATTTCATTCATTTCATTTATTCATTCTTTTCGTTGAATTTCATTTCATTCATTCATTCATTCATTTCATTTCGCTTCATTTCATTCCATTTCATTTCATTCATTCATTCACTCATCAATTCATCCATTCATCCCTTCATCCCTCCATCCGTTCATCCATCCATCCATTCATCCATTCATCCATTCCTTCATTCCATTCATCCATGCATTAATCCTTCATTCATTCATTCATTCATTCATTCTTTCCTTCGGTCATTCATTCCGTTAATTCACTCATTCGATTCATCCACTGCACTCCAGTCCACTTCATCCATCCATTCATTCATTCATCCATTCCATTCATCCATTCATTCATTTATTTGGTCATTCATCTCATTCCTTCATTCATGCATTCATCCATCCATTCATCCATTCATTCACTCATTCATCCCATTCATCCATTCATCCACTCATCCACTTATCCATTCGTTCATTCGTTCATTTCATTCATTCATTCAGTCATTCATTTATTCATTCGTTCATTCATTCATTCATTCATTCATTCAATGGATTCAACCTATCTATCTGCACATATGCAGTTATAACTGAACTGGGTGAGAATCTTGTGGCCGGGCGATCACCATATCGGAGCCAGGAACAAGATCATAAGTTGAGCACTTCTTGCTACTCCAAAAAATCCCTGAGAGCTTCAGGGATCGTGTTGTATGACAGGCTTGGGAAATGGGCTTGGGAAATGGAGAAAGCAGGATGGCTGGCTGAACTTGTGGGTTATTGATTATTGAGCTGAAGGATGCAGAGTCCTGTAACACTGAGACGCAGCTCCGGGCCTACAATGCTGCTGGGCCACTAAAAAGGCCCAGATTTCAGATTTAGGGTGAGCATAGCAGGAGCCTGCACCACAACCCCACGAAGCTAATCTGCGAGAAGGGTTCATCGGAACAAACATGCCCACACAACCCAAGCCCGAACTGAAAGAGAAGACATTCTGATTCATGCGTGTGTGTATATACATATACACATGCATGCATATACATAAGATATATATATGTATAGATGTATATGTATACACAAGTCAAGAACACATCTGTAAGTGGGCAGTGTGTATTGCTGCTTTTGTCTTCCAGCATGGTGTCGGCACCAGATACATGCACATGGTGTGTGTGTGTATACATTTGTATATATGTACGTATAAATGCTAGTCAGGAAATTGAGAGTTTCGAGGCCGTACGATACGGGGCAATTGTCAATTATGTTGTTTTGTTCTACAGAGCTTTACGTTATGTACCGTCTTCTCTCTTACACAGGCTACAGTGCGAGATATGCCTCTGCTAGATAGCAGCTTCAATGAGAACAAGCTGTTTGTTGAACAGCGGCTGCTGTGAGCAAGGGTCTTAGCAGTTCTTCCGTTATTACAGCTGTGTAGCCTTCGTTGATGTAGCTTTGCCTGACTTGGCTTGGCTTGTCCAGCTCGCCATACTGTCATTCGCCCAACAAAATTAGCAGCACAGTGGAAAATGTTGAGCATAGCACAGCAAGCATGTTAGAGAGAGGCTTCCAAGGTATGGGTCATCCTGGACTAGCCATCCTAAAACATCCGTCTGGCAATCATGGGCATGCTTAGACATTCTTTGTCTGTAGCGGCCGGACCATCAGCCCAGAATGCAAAAAAAGGCTGTCTCCAAGGCCCTTAACACTAACTGAACCATGGTTTCCTAGATGCAAGCTGAGCTCAAGAATATAAATCTTAAGCTCCTACCCTATCCTGTAACCCTAAACCCCGAACTTAATACCCTAAAACACCAAAGCCAAGGTAAAGCCCAAAACAAGCCGAAAGCCCAAACCCTAATCCAAAGCCCCTGTATAAGACCCCCTAGCCCCCAAAAAACCCAAATCCCTAAACCCTCTATACCCCATGCCCCAAAATGCAGCCCGGCATCTGGCTGGCTTGGGTGACCTGGCTGACAGTCGTAACTCCACTCGCCGTGGTGACCTGCTACAGGGCTTGAGGGCTTCGTTTGCTTTTCTTTTTGAGGGGAACAGGCCAGGCAAGGATATTGGATTTGTGCTTAGCCTGCTTTAACACATAACAAAGACCGACACAAGGGACCAAAGCAGATCTTCGTGCTGCGAGGTCGCAACAACATGCTTAAACTCCAAACGCCTGAATTGTCCAAAGTCTCTCTACCTTAAACAAATCCCACAAACCGAAAATCCCAACTCATTTAAGTTGGAAGTCCCACAACCCTACAACAGCCCAGGCCCTACACCCTAACAGGCCTAATACCCTAAAACTCGAGGTCCTGCACGGTAGACCGAACACTCCTCAAAATTGTCGCGCCTGGCTTGTGTCGCTAACTTGGCGACCCATATCCTCGTTGGTGTTCAAATTATCCTTGCCATCGTCCTCCTGGCTCTGAGCAAGCTTGAGCGTCTTAGGGCTTAAGCGGCTTAAGCGTGTAAGGTCTAGGACCTAGGATTTCGGGTTTCCACAATGCTTTCTCGGGTTGCTGATTATATAGAAGCTTATGGGAGGTCTGCTGATGAGGTTTCGTGCCCGAGCGCGTTCCAGGAGTGTCCGCTCGATCTACCCTGTCATATTTACATTCCCAACCCGAAACCGCAAATCACAAGTGAAGGACTATGATTGGACAGACAAACATGTGAAAGCCGACCCTGTCGAATGCAGTGTTTTCTGATGATTATCATTACGAGTATTGCTGCTGTTCGCACTGTCGCTGCATGGAGCTTGGAATGCGGAACCACTTGTCGGGGGGGGGGGGCGAGAAGTCGAGATTGGATCCAGTTCACGCAATCCTATGGGGCAAAGCGGCTTGGGGCTTCGGGTTCAGAGTCTAGGTTTCTCGACACCAGCCTGTGCTCGAAACCTCAAATTGCGTGAGAACCGGACTACGATCTAGAATCATGAGCTGGGCGATAAACCTAGGCTGCCCCTGAACCCCAAACCAGGAGCCCTAGAACCGAAATCCCGAAGGCCCTAAGCCAAAACCAAAAAACGTCAAACCCAATAGGGTTTTTGGGGTGCTAGCCAAAGGCCTGAAGAACCTCAGGGCTGTAGGGCTCAGAGCTTTCAAAATTTAGGTTTTAGGGCTCTGGCTTGTAAGGACCTTCGGGCTTTAACAAAGTCCAGGGTTGAGGGTCTTTAAACCCCAGCCCTATGCCCCTGTCCTCCAGCACAGCCTTCTCGGCGCCCTTCGTATTGAGGCGAAGCTCGTGAACCCCGTGAGCAAAGCGGCACCTCAGCTTCCATCCAAGTGCAGGGGCCTAAAAAAGCGCACGGTTCCGGGATTTCCGATTAAAGGAAAGGCCCACTTCGGGTTTGCAATTTGGGATTTTGGGGTTAAGGTTCTCTTGAGCATCAAGGGAGTTTAGGTTTGGAGTTTCAACAGGTTTGATCTGCCGGGGTAAAACCCCAAAGCCCCGAAGCATCAACCCGGGTCTCCCTTCCCACACAAAGTACCGAGTGCTTGAACGTGGTGGCTTGGGCTTGGAATCTTGGGATTTGAGGTCCTCACTCCATAAACAGCAACGGAATAAAACCTCCAGAGCTGTCTTGCGCACCCGAACTTAACCCTGAACGCAAACCCCAGGGGCCAAAACCCTAAACCGCAAGCCCCCAAAACCTCACCCGTAAACTCCTGACCTTCGGCCCCTGAAACCCCCGAATTTTTTCTTAACCCTAAACTCTAAACCCTAGGACTGACCCCCGGAGCCCCTGGAGCCCGAGGAACCCAAAAGAACCCGAAAGGCCCTGAGCCCAGAGCTGCTCTCCATTGCGGCATTTGCCCTTCTCGTTCCAGATGCACCTGGGCTTAGGGCCTAAGGCGCCAGAAAGGGAGCTTCCTGAGCTTCCTTTTTAAAAGTGCGGGCTGTATCATGCAAGCGGCCATGCTCATGAGAACATGACGAGCTCGAAATGACCTGAAAGACTCTTCAGACCATCTCGACACTCTCCATGCACACATGTGCCGAATTTTATAGTGAGTTATAGAGCGGTTCCCCTTTTTCAGGACCCTAACCCTAAACCCGGGGATCTTTGTTAAACAAACCCTGGAAGCGCGCAAAAGCTGCGCCAGCAGGGTCGTAAGCCGAGTTGTGGATCCCAAAGCTCAACCCGCAACCTCCGAAGATAGGGCCTTAAATTTGATAGACTTGGTTCATGGATCTAGGAACGATTTCTTTGTCTTATCTGCAGGGCACTCTCCGGCGGCCTACTCTCTTCTAAACTCCTAAACTTGAAGCCCTCCTCAACACTTTATGCCCCAGGCGAACTGATTTTCTTTTCTCCTTCCGAGCACGTCCTGAAAGTGATGCTTTCGCCTCTTTGCAGTGAGTGAATGCACGCTGCACAAACAAACAATCATGTCTTATTCAGAACACTACCAAAAGCGACGATCCGGCGGTTGGGCACCTCTAGTGGGGCGGCAGCTTGCACCCAAAACATGCCCCCGAAACCTTATATAATCATCTTGAAATCCTAGAAACAATGTGTCGTTGCACGTTACGAACTGTTAGGCCCAAGGAAGCAAGCCCTCGTCTGACAGTAGGTCTGGATGCAGACCCTTTACCCGAACTCCCGAACCCGAGTTCACCAAGATCCGCAACCATCAGCCCATACATCCTAATCTTCAAATCCAGACTAAACTCGCACCCCCAGATCCCCAATACCAAAGACTATGTTGTAGATCAGATCCCCAGGGTCCTAAACAGATAAATCCAAACACGAAACCGACAGGCCCCCGACAAGGTCTTCTTGAAGAACATGTCGGTCGATCGCAGGTCTTCTTCACCTCGCATGTCGAACATCCGGAGCTGTCACAGGTCATGCGCTTGTAAAGGTTGGGGTGGAAGCGTTTAGGGAGTCGGTCTCTTACATCATAGAGGTGCTATCCTCCGCGTACTACTGGTGTGTTAGAAATGCCCGGCCCNNCCCCCCCCCCCCCCCCCCCCGACCTGTTCTGACCTGACCACTTGTAGAAGTTCAAGCCTTCAAGTCTACAGATTCCAATTGAGCGCGAAAAGACAACAGAAGAGAAGTTCAAACCAGACACAATCAAAAGCGAGGGTTGCTCAAAGCACCTGCCCCAAGCAGGCACAGAGCTGGCTCCCGTTCTTCTTGTGAGGAAATGTAATCCTAGAAAACTTGTGAGACAACCATCAGATCCCACATACCGCTGGTTTTGCCTGTTCGCTTTGCGATATAGCCTGAAACCACCCCTCAAGGAGTTCCAAACCTCCCAAAACCACAGCGCAACCCTAAAACCCATAAGCTGTCCAAGCTCCTTGGGGCTGGGCTGTGTGCGAAGGTGCAGCTTGCATCATTGCACCCACCACCTCAGTGACTCGACGTGATGCTTGCTAGGGCCGAGTCATTGTTGAGCTGATGCATTGGGCATTGAGGTCTCTTGGACATAGCCTCTGCTCCCCAAGCCATACCACCGACTACTCGCAAAACAGTAGGTTTGTCCTGGCTGGGGCAGCCTACATCCAAACCTAGCCTCAACCCAACAGCCTAGGCACAATTCCAAGCTTTCGGCTTCCGGATGTACGGCAGACGGGCCCGACACCCGCATGAAACCCCCTCAACTCAACTACGCAGCCCCCAGGTCGAATCGATTGAAAGTCAACAGTAATCCAAAAACCCTTCTAAACAAAGCACGAGAGACAAACCAAAACCGCCCAAAATCCCGAAAGCTCTAATCAAACCTACAAGCCCCAAAGCTCTAAATCCTAGACCTCAGAATTCCTAATGCAGGACCCTCACTTCCTCGGCCGCTGGCCCTCAAAGAAGGCAGTGCAAAGCCGTGTCTTCCGCAAATCTGGTGTGGCCTGGTTAAAGGTTTCCTTGGGCTTCGGGGTTTGGGGTTTCAGTGCTGTGCTTTGTTGAGCGAGAGAGCTTGGAGATTCAAGAGGCTCAAGGCTACGGTCACATTACGTCACATTCTTAAACCCAAACTCTGCATCTGCGACCCTGAATCCAAAATCCTGGAAGGACTCAGACCCTGGGCTTCGACGTAGATTCTAGATGAATGTTGCCGGTATTCTTTTTGAGTGATGAGGGTTCGAGGACTCAGGGGACTCTTACGGGGACTCCTAGGTCCTAGTTCGGAAATGGCTGCAGGCATAACTAAGGAAGGACCCAGGCGCGCATTGCACGGCTTGCTCTCAGATCTGACCCCGAACTGGACACCCTCAACCGTACACTCCGAGAGCTTTGTAACAAAGGCAAGAATTGCTGCGTGTACATTTACATCTACGACGACTACGACTTCGCCGACTACAACGACTACGACGACGACGACGACTACTACTACTACTACTACGACTACCACGACGACGCCTACTACCAGTAGGAACCACGACGACTATTGCTACGACGACGATGACGACGGCTCTTCTTTTACTACCGTTTGTTCTACTAATACTACTAACACCATCAACACCAGTACGACGACGAGGAAGAGGACCGGGACGATGATGCTATGAGTGGGAAGAGGACAACGACAACACTTGCACGACCACCAAAACTACTCACGCATACTTGTTGTTATTGTTCTTTGTGGTCCTACTGTTTGCTTGACCCCAACTTCGATATGGGCAAAAGAAAGAAGGCTTCGATTCCAAGTTGTGTCACTCCGATAAACTGAATCAACTCTTTGTGCCCGGGCAGTAGGTTTGAGAGCCTGGGCTTAGTGATCGGGGCTTCAGGTCCCGTTCGGATGCGCTTGGGGCTCGGGGTGTAGGATTTAACTCTTGGCATAGAGGGCTGCACGGTTTGGGGTCTGGGGATTTGGGTTCAGGGTTTTGGGCTTCTGAGGCCGGCAGCTTCGGGACTCCAACCACCCTCCTACAAGGACTAAGCCCCGAGCCCTGAACCTGACAGAGAAAGCTGTGACTGTAGTGGCCCACATACTTAGACTAATGTCCTGGGGGGCGGGGGGGGTTATAAGTGCAAATGAGGGAAGCCTAAAGAATATTACGGATTTTCAAGCTTGAACTTTACCTTTACTGCCATTTCCTATTCAGTCCGCTCAGTCCTACTCTCCGAGAGAACCTGATTGAACACCGTCAAAACGCTGCAGGACACTGCAATGAAACAGACTATGGTAGCTCAAAATGCACCTTGCCCACGTCCGCACCACCCCGTGTGAAGGCTTCCAGAAACAAGGAACCTAAGTAAGGTATGGCTTTTTTTTAGAGGACACCTAAGAAGAGATCCTTACTTTCAATTGCAAGCTTTTTGAGGGTTCAGGGTCTCCCAAAACACGTAGTTCACGAAAAGAACCCACTCTCGCGTAGCACCATTAAGTCGTGAAGCTGCAAGCCCAGAACGCTAGATCCGAAATGCTGGATCCACAACTCCAAGGCTGTACACCTGAATCGAACCCAAGTCCCTAAATCCACGACCAGCCCTGCTCTTGCTGCCTGGAGCTCGGCGCAGGAATGCGCGAACGAGCAGTCAGAGCCGAACTGGCAGGCCCCCTTCAAGTGATACCTTCGCCGATGACTTAGTAGGATTGCAGTGTGGGTATAGGGTTACGGGATTTAAGGTTTGGGCTGGGTCGGTTTAATGACTTAAGAACCGAAAACTGCGTGTTGTACCTTGTCCCGGAGCGTGACACCCTTCTCGGGCATGTAGCCTTTCTCACTCTCCCGAGGGAGTTAAGGCTTCAAGCTTTAGCACTGCAACCCAACAAAGACTGACAAGATGCAGATTGCAAATGCAGCAACTAGCCCGGCCAACTGAACCTAGCCCAGTGCCACTTCGAAATCCGACTGAAAACCGTAATGGTCAATTGTCCGTCAGCTTGCCAACTAGTACACACAACAACAGCAACAGCAACAGTAGCAGTAGTGAATGAGATGCGAACAACCTGGTCATGATAGCAAGGACTGGAGAGTTTATGTTTAAAACGGAAGTGAGAATCAGACCTTGAAGAAGAAGCACCGCTGCTGGCAGCAAACTAATACTTTCGATGCCCATAACGCTCGTGTCATGAGCCGCAAGCCCCACTGGTAAACGACAACTCTAACAAACCCGAACTAGACAGCAGCTATGATCAGCGATACCAGGTACTGTTAAGACTATCGGCACCATTTTCACCCATTTTCCTATCATCTGAATAACTCTACTTACCAGTACAAGCACTTACAAGCACTACTACGAGTACTACTGCCAGCTGCTGCTGCTGCTGCTGCTGCTGCTGCTGCTGCTGCTCCTGCTCCTGCTCCTGCTCCTGCTCGTGCTCCTGATGGTGATGCTGCTGCTCCTACTCCTACTCTTGGTCCTACTCCTCCTGCTGCGTTGCCTACTCCTACGGCTCCCACGTTCTTTGTTCCTCCTTTTGCTTCACTCCTACTTCCACGCTCCGGCACTCCTACTCACTCTCCTGCTCTCCTATTCTCCTACTCTTTTACTCTGCTGCTCTCCTTACTACCACCACCACCGCCACCACCACAACCACCACGACTACTACTACTACGACGACTATTACTACCACTACTACCACCACTACCACTACCACTACCACTACCACTACCACTACCACTAATTGCTACTACTCTAGAATGCGGAAATGCACTGGGCCCAGAGCAGGCGGAACTACTCTAGCATGACAATATTCACTGGGACCGTTGCAGGCAGAACTTCGTCTTGTGCAGCTGGGAGTGGAGGCAGGTGTGGCGCGGTTTCTCCTGGCCGGCCAGAGTTGGGCTGGTTCTTGGGCTTCCTCCAGTGATTTACAGCTTAGAGGTTGGAGACTGAGGTTTAGGCCTTAGGGATGCCTATGTGCGTGTGCGTGGGTCGAGGTGCAGCCTCGGGCTTCGGGTGTTTGAGTGGTGTGGTTGGTTTCCGGTTGTAGGATGGTAGGGCGAAGGGCTTTAGATGTCGGGCTTGCAGATTGGTTTTGGCTGAGGGTTTTGACCCTTCGGATCGAAAGGCAGGCTATCTGGCAATAAACTGTTGGTTTCAGTTTCGGGCACCCCGTTACCGGAACATCCCATACCCGCAAAACCTAAAACCCTAAACCCTGAATCGGTACACAGCACCATCCCGAGTGCTAAACCCAAAAGCATGCAACAGGACTGAAATTCTACATCTGAGCCAGGCAACAACAAATGTACATGATTAACGTATACATACGTGTACAGGAATACATGTGTATACATAGCTATATACACACCATGTAGGTAGACAGATAGTGGATGGATGCATAGATCGATGGATGATAGATAGATAGATAGATAGATAGATAGGTAGTTAAGTAGATAGATAGACAGATAAATAGACGGACAGATAGATAGATAGGTAGGTAGATAGATAGATAGACAGACAGACAGATGGATAAATAGATAGATGGATAGCTAGGTAGGTAGATAGATAGGGATATAGGTAAATGGAAGTGGATAGATAGGTACATTGAGATAGACACATAGACAGTTAGATCGATTGATTGATAGACAAATGGAAAGACAGATCGATCTACGGACCCATGGACAGACAAGCAGACAGGACGGAAAGACGGAAAGAGAGATAGACAGAAGCTTAGGCCGTGCAAGCTTGCATCATCTTGGACTCCCGTTCAAGGACGCTTCCATGCCAAGGCTCTGCTTAGAAATGTAAGCAAAGGGAGGAGGAAAAGTAGTAGTATAGTAATGGTGGGGAGTGAGGGAACAACCCCACCACTAGGATTACTTGTTTTGATTCTTTTTGCGAAGGGGGGGCTAGGACTACTATCAAGACTGCAAAGCCCCGAAAACCTCCACCACCACTACTACTACTAC